AATGGAACAAATGTGAGACTTAAGAGTTTTTTTACATTTGTAGTGCAGATGACTCAGGATTTTCCCCATATCAAATATTTATGATGTTTAATTTTTTTTATACAATTTAATAGCAAGAACTTGAGATATTTTGTAATTAAAAGAAGGAATATGGAAAGGCCCATCCATCTCTATGTATAATGCAGTACAGTCTTTCCAACAATAATACATTTCCAGGCCAAGATATGGGTCTAAGCGTGTGAGAAACCAAGTGAAATTACAGCAGTGGTGTTTTTTAATATTTTTTTTTAAAAATAGGAATGTCTGATTTATTCTAAAAACATTCAAATTTAAATACTATCACCTGTTCCTTTAATCCAAATATGGTGGTAGGATTTTGTACTATCTAATCCTAAATTGTTCTGCAATAACATAAGACATTTGGAAAACATAAATCATAAATGAAGTAATTATAATTATAACCTCTTGCTATTTTAAGATAAATGTTGCTGAAATATCACATAAAAAGAGTAGGGAAGGGTGATCCTGCCTATATTTCAAACCACTCATGTAGATGGCATCTGAAGAATAAGATATACAATGGTGCCTCGCTTAGCGACGTTAATCTGTTCCAGGAAAAACGTTGCTAAGCAATTTAATTGCTAAGCAATTTTAAAAAGCCCATAGAAATGCATTAAAACATGTTTAATGCGTTCCTATGGGCTTAAAAACTGACCTTATGTGAAGATCCTCCATAGGGGCGGCCATTTTCGGTGCCTCTAAAGCGAGGCAAAACAGCGGGCAGCCATTTTGTTTTTCTGGTGGCCATTTTGGAACTGCCGATCAGCTGTGCAAAAAGGGTCGCTTTGCCATGATTGCTTCCCCGCGATCATCACAAAGCGATTTTTCCCCATAGGGGCCATCACTAAGCGATCGCTCTGGCGATGGCCAAAACCCCATCGCTAAGCGATTTCATCGCTCAACGCAGTGATTGCTAAGCGAGGCACCACAGTCTAGAATAATAGCTTAGTGGTTTATATATAATATTAATATAATATATATTAATATAATAATTCTGAGCAAGAGGTTGCTTTGCTCTGCATCTTACCCTCAACCACCACCACTGAAATCTGAGATGGCACATTTGAAAGTTGCTCCCAACTAGTGTTTGCACTTCCTAACTATGCTTATAAATTCTTCATTGGTACAAAATGAATTCAGTCCTGCAGCAGAACCATATCAATGTATTCAGTGCAGGCTGAGGAAGAATGTGTTTGCTTGACCACAGTGCATCAAAGGGTAAAATATGATACGATGCAGTGACCAGTGTGAATTATCAAGAGAAGTTCTCCAAACAAGACAACCCCAGCTTCTTTCTCTAATTTCTACTGCAATGCTGTCATATGTTAACTGCGTAAAGGCAGGGGCAAAACTGTTACCTATTGCCTGCTGCTTTTCTGTTATATTATTACGGTGATGCTGGATGGTTGCATTCATGCAATAGCTGCTTACAAGATTACTATACTTCGTGGCTTAAGCTACATGGAAAGGGAGGCATCAGTAATCTCCGGTGATGATGCTGTAAGCCCAGCATTACCATAAGCCATGTTTTCATACATTTCTGAGTGACTGTGGGAGCATGAAAATAAAACAGACTGTGCCCTGCGGCAGAAGACTGCAGGCAACAGTCTTTAGTTGGGGATACTGAAAAATAATCTGCAGTTTCCAGTGGCTACCATATAGCTAGAAGTCATTAAAAGAGGCATTCGTTAGTGCCTAAAGTTAATGATGTATACATAAGGCCCCCTAACAACACGTTAAAGTGGCATGTTTTCCAGTGGCAATTTTAAAAAACCCTTTTAGCATTTCATGACCTGTGTTTGCAAAATAGTTCGCCCCCCCCTAAAAAAGTGTATATTATATTGAAGTACGTTTTTAATCAAAACACTGCTGTGATATATAATGGGCACGCCTTATTCTGAAATTATGGAGCAGGGGACTTCAGACCCTCAGGCAACAAGCAGAAAGAGGGCGAAGAACAACATTTCTTCCTACATCCGCCAAGTCCCTTTTCAACTTTCCTTCACCATTTGGACTTATCTGGTTTGGCTTGTACGCTAGCTCCCTGGCTGACCTTTCGGTTCCTGCAACAGGAACATGATGGTGGCCTGACAAATATATCGGTGTGACCCAGAGAGCTTTGGCTAAGCCTCTGAACTGAGCTTTTGGTCCTGTCACCAGGCTAAATGGTTTCTGTAGTAGTCTGGGTCAAATGGCAAGAGGTTACAGGCCTAAGAGGAGGACCATGGGCACCTTCCTGGTTGATACACTCATTTTGATTGTCTGGGATAACCAAAAAAAGAGAGAGAAAAAGTGGGAGTTGAGGAAAGTCCTCCTCTTCACAATAATTATTTTGAACTGCCCAGTTGCTAATTAAAAATGAGCACTAATGACTGTGGGCAAATAATGCTAACCTACTGAGTAGAAATTGCCTGTTTAGAGAGTGTTAGCAACTTTGTCCTATCCTGTTTCAGAGCTTTGGAAACACAATTTCTAACATACTCCAGATACCTCAAGCTGTGGAAGAGTCCAAGCTATGTCCTGTGCATTCTAGTGGATAATTTAAATAATATGAGTGGGTAGGGTGGTTATATGAATTAGATTTTTTTAAAATTTCTCCAAAAAAATTAAAACAATTCCTAAGAATTTCTACTAATATCCCATGTTCTCCCACTTTCATATTTCCTTGAGATTAAATCCAGTGGCTAGCTTTAACCAGAGTAGGCACACTGAGTAAATGGTACTTCCAGAAACATTGACCTATCAAGTTCACATGAACTCAGTGAATCTACTCTGGTATCAACAAACAATTCAATTTAGGTTGTGTTCTGCTAATCAAATAACTGCATTACACTTTAATTTGATTGTCTCCTATGACTGGATAGGATTTTTTTAAAAAAATGTTTTGCAAATGTGATACACAGAATGAACAAGATTAGTTAAGAAAATCATTGAATTTAGCCCTCTAGGTCCTGGGACAAAGTAATATTTCAGACTAACCCTGTTCAGATGTAACAGAAAACCATACATTCTGAAATTATGAACAAGCTGCTTGCAACCTCTTTTGGACCATGAGAGCAGATATTTTTATCTATGATTTTAAACAAAGCACAGTTCTCTGTAATCACGGTGTCCGCAAGGAGGGACAATTGTCCCCCATTCCTCAAATGCATTATTATAATGTTCACAGATACACTATAATGAATTATACTAATTTATCACTAAGCAGCTTCACCTTCTAAGGGAAAAAAATTTGCCCTTTCCTGTGACATTTAAAAATGGGTTCATTTACTTCACAGGTAGAGAAAACATGGTATCCTTTAGATACTTTAGACTACAGTTCAGAACATTCAAGCCAACTTGGCCATAAGACAGAGATTATGGCATCATAAAACATATGCACCCCCCCCCAAGTCTTTAAATGTTGATATACTCAATACAGCTAAAACAAAACACAATTCCCTGTTTGGATGTCACAGAGGACATTGAAAAGTTTTGACCTACAAATTGCAGTTTTTAATCTCCTCCTCTAGTACAGTACATGGAAAAGGAGGAGGGAGAGAATGACCTTTTGAAGTTAAAATTCACTGTGGTTCATTCATGTGCTGGGTTTTCTCTTATGCCCAAAGAAGGCCAGCCTGCAGTCTTAGCCCTGATTTACCAATTCACCTCCCATAACCGAGATTGCCATCAATGTTTACTCAATGCTTGCTCTCAGTTCTGCTTCTCATAACACATACATCTTTTAAATGAAGGATAAAAAGTATTCATATTAGTGCAGTCATGAGTGAGTAAACTTCAGAGAGGGTGGCAGGCATCGAAAGTAACATGGAAGTCAGCCTTACCATTGAGACATCTCTCACAATAGGAAAGATTTGAAATCTTGCCTGCATTCTGGATGTTTCAAGATACCTTTGCTGAGTACAACTGCCCGCAAATGTTCTAGCATCTCATCAGCATAATGTTGACTGAAATGAAGTGCAGTACACCTCAGTTTCTCCAATGTCATTTTAGCAACATTTAAAATATTCACCAGGTATGTTCTCTAAACATATACCTGAAAGAGAGACTCTAATTATCTATTTGTTTCCCCGACACCACTTTCATTTAATATCTACTCATGGATCTTTAATGAGATTGGATTTTCTGATAAACTACCTTAAAGAATTTCAGAGTTGAAGCATTTCCTATTCTACATCTCCTCTTAGGCCACCTACACTCTGCACTTCTCCAGAAGTCCCAATGCACCCAGTTTCACAATGTGCAAGATCCCCTTCAAGCTCCAGAAAATTTTTTTTGGGGGGGTGCACAAATATTTATAATTAAAAGAAATGTTTCCTTAACAAACTTCTTCAATTTTGTTTTGTTTTGAAATACTGAAGTAAAATGATAATAGAAAATAGTAACTAAAAATATATATATAACATTCCAAATGCTTATCAGTGCATTTGTTCTGAATCAAATGCCTTGTGTTCAAAATGGCTTTGTTTAGATGTAACTACTCTATGAGACTCCATTTCAGAAATTTATTACAATGATATGGCCCTGCTGTCCAGTTCATTTCAATGGATGAACCCTTCGTGTGTGTATGGATTTACTGTCTCTACTGTAATGAAAGAAGGAAATCCACACATGGACAAGCTCCATGTTCACCCATGGGAGTCCAGATCAGGACATGGCTCTTTTCCCATTATAAATTATTATATCTTGAGAAAGGTGGCTAATCAGTCATCCATTTATCCATCATGGCAATTTCTTCAATGCTCTGTTGTTTCCCCACTCCCTTGTAGTATAAAATAAAATAAGTATCCTTGTATCCTGCTCTGCCATGGAACTCCCATAATCTCATTTACATGTCACCGATCAAATCATTTCTCCCCCATGGCTTCCACAGCTCTGAAGCATCAATGCTACCAGACCATTAAGCAGGTCCCAGTCTATCCTTTTTAAAATGAAATTGCTTTACATGCAGTAGCTACGTAGGTAAACATTACAGAGCTGCAGAAAAGTAAAAATTGGTGTTATTTTCAGTCTGAATATGTAATACAGTATTGCTAAATGCTTCCAGAATTTTAACCTAATCTACAAAACCTTGGATGTAGGAGACAAACAGTAACAAGGCTTCCCCCCTCCCTTTTTTTTTTAAAGGATCGGCACTCAGGGAGGGATTCTGTCTCTTGCTGTTTAAAATGAGAATTGAAGTTTAATTGTTTAGTAAAGCAAGCATTACAGAATGCTTCAAAATTTTAAAATTCAGGGATAAAAGTTTACATCCAAAAGTGATGGACATATGAAAATTGTGCTTTCAGACAGTAGAATTATTTATCATACCAATTCATCTCACCTTTAGATTCTGGGAAAATTTATATAGCATTATATCTATCTATCTATATGTATATATGTGCAGTTTCTCATTTACAGTTCCTGCAATAATCTAAAACAATGTGCTTCACTTCGTAGATAGCAAAGGCACCTGTGTTATTCTCCCTTTTGGACAAAGGTGATATTAAGATCCAGGTTTCCTGATGAAGACAACCACTTTCTTCCCCTCTTCTTTCTTCTATCGTAAATGTCCAGAAGCCAGACAAGAAGGTAGCAATTTCTTCCTTGCCCGTGCCAGAAGAGGTTGCCCTGTAGGCTGTTCGGAGCTTCATGACTGAACTAGGGAAACCGAGCAGAACTGTGAAGCAGAGGGACAGTAACAAAAAAGGCTATTCTGGTGTGTGAGGAGAGATCTGGAGTCCTTTCAGCTCCACAAACAGATGTTGCTACTGGACTGACACGTGGAGCCTGCTCCTGCTGGAGAAAGGTAGAGTTTACCATTGGGACAAACACACAGCTCATAGATAGTCTGTCGAGGAGCTGATGAACTTGGTGAGGAGGGAGAAGAAGAAAAGGAACCCAATGGTAGATTCCCTAGCCGGATTGAGTCTGCATTTAAAAATATCTAGGAAGAGAGGGGGGAGGGGAAGAAAGACAAGTAAGGTATTTTCACAGATTACATTATTAGACTATTTTGATGAGCACATACATACTTAATTCAACACAGAGAGGAGCACTCTTCCACCATCTGATTCTGGATGGATTAACTGTGACAAAATAAAGGGTTGGATAGTTTCTTTCATCTTAGGAAGAACACTCACTTCCAGATGTTTTGGGGCCTGCTTCAAAATATATAGACTTCACGTGGATTCTGAAGAAGGGACCAAAAAGATGTGCCTTAGATCTGGTGGTTGGATCAGGACTTAGCTTGGTTCCTCCTAATCACACCATAATAATTTTTAGACCCACAGTTTTTCTATTACATTTTGAGTAAACATTGGTCTCCATTATCATGCCTCCCTCCCTCCAGATGCACCATGGCATGCATGGCGGGGCTACCATATTGGCCAGCTGGCCAGGTATTATTCAGCTTGTAGACATGTGACCTTGTGCCCATTTACAGGATTAACTGGCCCCTAGGTTTTTTTTAAAAGACAGTGGCTAGCCTGTGCAGAATATAAGAAATCAAAACATGCAGTAACATTTCATGGATTACATTTAATGACACTATGTACGATTTGCAACAAATTGTTGCACCGTAGAGTGCTCCTGTTTCAGCCATTCAAACACATCTTTTTTGAAGCATCCCCTTCCTCTTCCCCTCCCACCCAAGCATTTTTAACCCTTAAGAGTCTGTCAACATTCTACAGCCAGTGAATTACACTTAGTCCTCATCACAGTGTGTTGGGATGCCTCACACTTTCTCTTTTTAACTCCTGAATTTTGTACTTCTACAACTCCTGCAACTTTCAAGGTCTAATTATGCCCCCTCTTTTGTGTATGGATGGTGCCATTTTAGTGTTAGCTTGGGGTCCTTGAACATCAGAAAGAGAGCTAATGATATATAATATTACATAAAAATCAAGGAGACTGTACGTATGTATGTATATACATGTGCATGTATACTTTTCATGCCAACTGTTTTGAAACATTAATCTTCTCTTGAAGCAAGCAAATGACAGTGCAGATACTGAGGACTGTGAATTCAGTATAAATCCATTAACAATGTGAAATACAATGTCAAATGAAAAGGAGACTTTTACTTCTTAAATTTTGGAAAATCTTGTTTGGATCTGCTGGCATTCCAGAACCCCAGCCCAGCTAGACTGTGATTTCACAATCAGTTTTTCACTCTCATCCATTTTTCTGATGTTTTTGAACACCAGAAAGAGAAACCACAGACAGAATGAACATCAAGGACATCAAGAGAGCAGCTCGTTATGCCAATGTGATAATTAGAGCTTCAGCAAAGTTCTCTAGACCTGTGCTTGGACATGAACATCAGAGTCTTGTAAAATATGTACTTTAAAATGTCACAATGTTTTCAACAGTGACAGGAGTCCTCAGGAGAACTATCTCTTCCATAATCCCCTGGGCTCTGCTATAAATAGTATCCTCCCTTTCTTCTCATCACTGTTCCTATCACTGCCACTTGGCAGGTAAGTGAAATGGAGATATATTTGCGAGGTGAATTGTTTAAAGATGGCAAAACCATTTTTTTCCTGAGTCCTTCAATGTGCTTGGATTTTTTAATATCATTTCCCCCTGACTTTTGGAGGGGTAACAGTGGTGAATTGTGGTAATTTTCAAGTTTAGCTAAGGAGAGCTATGGAAAGCTTGCTTATCTCTAGTTAGGTTGGGGTAAATCTGCTGGTTGAGGAATAATGTTCATCTTTGTATTCTCAGTGACACAATGATGTTTTGGTAAGGATTCAGTCTATTCCATTATTTACTGTAACCTCTAGAGGTGCCCTAGATAGCTGCAAAAAGCTGACGTCTACTGGACAGTTAGGAATCCATTTGTCATCCTAATATCGTGAAACTGCTGACTTATTCACTGACAGAAACTCTGATTTTCCATGGAGCACCATCTGTAGACTAAGGCTTGCCCCTAGAGGCCTCAGTGCAAATAACCAATATAATATTTTTTTACTGATGCTTTTCATGATTTTTAGAGTGAGAACAAAAAAATATTCTTGGGCAGTTTTGTGCTTAAAGGCTTAACCGTGCATCAATATTTAAGCATCCATTGCTTTATAGCAAATATGACAGCTCCTACCAAGAGACACACTAGTGTGGAGTCTTGTGCTGATGCTGAGAGAAAGCAATGGGACTCCATGGTAATGTAATGGCTGGCAATAAAGCCTCTCTTTGTACAACCCAAGCTATCATTATTCTGATGCAATACAAAGCTTGGGCTGATGGTTAAATATTGATATGAAGCCAAAGGCTGGGGCAGAGGGTGTAAGTACATCTAAGTTTGTGAAGTGCTTTGAAAATGAAAAGCACTGCACAGTATTATATGCTTTGGCAATATTGATTTAACTGCAGTTTATTTAGGGTAGGAAAATAGTTAATGCATTTTCCATCACTAATGTAGCAATTAAGTTTATGCATTAGTGTGCATCAGTATAAATGAAGTTTGAAAAGTGCACTGGAAGTGAAAAGAAACAATATAATTCACCATGCACTGTAACACTTTGCCTTAGTGTTCATTTAAATATCCCCCAATTATTAATGCCACCAATGTATTGTTGCTGTTCATTTGCAGCACAATCCTAACTAGACAAGATGGCTCACACTAGGCCTGCTGAAGCTGCGTTGACACTAAAGCCCTCCCAGCCTCAGGATACTGGAAATTACTAGTCATAGAATCACAGAATAACTGAGTTGGAAGGGGCCTATAATAAGGCCATTGGGTCCTACTCTCTGCTGATTGCAGGAATCAAAATTAAGGTAAATCTGACAGATGGTTGTCCAATTTTCTCTTGGATGCCACCAGTGTTGGAGTACTCACCACCTCCTGAGGTAATTGGCTCCATTGTTGGATTGCTCTAACAGTTAAGATTTCCCCCTTAATATTCAGCTGAAATCTGGCTTCCTATAACTTGTGCCCATTATTATATGTCCTACACTCTGAGATGATCAAGAACAGATTCTGCCCCTCCTCTGTATGACTACCTTTCAAGTATTTGAAAAGTGCCATCGTATGTCCCATCAATCTTCTTTTCTCACAGCTAAACATGCCTAGTTCTTTCAGTCTTTCTCCATAGGGCTTGGTTTCCAGTTCCCCCAGTCACCCTTTTTACCCTCCTCTGATGACCCTCACTTTGACCTAAATGTGCTGACATATTCCTTGAGACTCCTCCTCTTCTCCATCCCACCTTTTTTGCTCTTATGCTTGCAGGATTTAGTCAGCAGAGAATCCAAGGTAGCTAATCTCTGAGAACAGCCACCAGAAAAGGATGCCAGCATGAGAAGTTTCTGCCTGTTCCTCATCCCCTAGACAACATCCTTCTTTGAGTTAGGATTTGGCAGGGATGGGGACTTGAGTCACAGGACTTGCTGTCAAGTCAGACTTAAGTCATACTGGCTCAACTCGGACTCAACTTGATTCCCCCCCCCCAATGACTCAGACTTGATTCGCAACTCACCCTCCCCTTTATTTTTCCTAGGGAAAAAACTTGTTTTCAATAACCACTTGGACTGGGGCTTGGACTTGCATTTTCTACCCACATGCATATATTTCATGTTATGAAGCTCCAATGAAGCTTACCTCCCCTTCTGTGGACTGCAAGTGCAATTCTTTTCTGCAGGTGGCTTTTAAATCCCCAGCAGCTGCACTCACTTGTATTCCCTTGGGAGCTTCCATTATCAAAGACCTAGTTGGTGATTCAAGCCTGAAAATGTAACAAACAAAGACAATTGGAGACATCTTTTAAAGGTCATGGTCTTATACTCACAGCTAAATGGCATAAGCATTTTTTTCAAGATGGAAACGAAAACTTCTACTGACTTCCCTGTGCTTTGGAAAATTCACTTTCAAGATTAAAAACCCCCCAGCATCTACAATATTCAGGGTCCATTCAAAATTCTTTCAGATCTCAGTTCAGGCCTTTGTGGAGTTAACAGTTTCTGTTTCTGGAAAGATGCCTGTTTTATCTCTATTTCTTTCTTTCACAGTTTCCAATTTTTATTTTATTTTTTGTATAGCTGGATCAGAACTTGGAAGTACCATGCTACAAGTAACTTAGTTACCTGTAATGAGTTTCTTTCTTTCCTTCACTCTCTTTTTCTTTCTTTGTAATAAGGTTATAACAAGGTTACATTACAAAAGTAATGTAATAAGTGGGATAAAAGTTATATTGTAAGAAATAAAAAAACTACCTAGTTAATTGAAAAAGCTTCTTTTCAGAAGTCTTTTTAGACATTTTATTTATTTATTTATTATTTATTTATTTATTTATTTATTTATTTATTTATTCAACTTTTATGCCGCCCACTCTACCAAAAGGTATTTTGAGAAATTCATCAGATACGCCATTGTCTTTGCATCATTTTTTGAAAATCAATAGAAAAGTGGCAAACAACATAATGAGCAAGGGAACAGATTATTTTTAAAACATTGCAATGAGTAATGGGTATCAGGAATAAATTATTTTTAAATGATGCTTTCTCAGATTTGAGTTTAGCTATTACGCATAAAATACTATCATCATTTACAAGGGATTATTGGCTCAACGGAGGTTGGTTTGATGAGTGCCTCACAGTGTGATAACTGTTAGTTGTTCTAATGATAAGGATGCACATATCAAGGTGGACATCTATGGGTGATGGCTAAAGAGAATTCTGTATCATTTTCCTGCACACAGATAGTTTTGGAAGATTGTATGGACATGAAAAAAAATTCAATGTGGGAGGCCTTGCCTTATAATTTTATCTCCTTGCTGTATATTGCCATTGGACTGCAGTTGGCTGGCTGGAGATTTTGTTTGTTGTACTCCAAAAAAGTAATGATTCCAAGACCTGCATGTACAGTTTCTTTCTCATACACATATCATGTAATTGAAAGTTAATTCATTAGCTATGTGCTTCCAGGAAATTTGTATGTATGTATGTATGTATGTATGTATGTATGTATGTATGTATGTATGTATGTATGTATTATTATTATTATTATTATTATTCAAACCTCCCCAGATTTTATGCAGAGCAAGAGCAGACTATCTACGACATATGTGCCAATCGTTGTTGTTGTTGTTGTCGTCATCATCGTTATCATCATCGTCGTCGTCATCATCATCATCATCATCAACAACAACAACAACAACAACAACAACAACAAATACAGGTCTGACCAGTACCATATAAGAGATATAGATTTTAACCAAAAACCTAAGTGTTAAAAATCAGTGTAATATGTATATTGTTCCTATTATTGCCATTTTTTGCAGCTCTGATAGTATTACTTCAGAGATCTGCAGCTGATTATAAAATTTTATAAAATTCTTCAGCATTGTTCCCAGTTCACTAATTACTGTGGGGACCACTCAAATGCGTTTCATCTACAAGTTATGTTGTTATGTTGTAAGCCACCTAGAGTGGTCGTATAGACAGATGGGTGGGGTATAAATCAAATAAATAAATTAGTGAGTTATTTCTATTGCCAAATCTCTGTATTTTGCTAATTTTTCCAAATCTCTGTATTTTGCTAATTTTTCCAATTCTCTTATTTTCAAAGACCCTTTGTGCACCCCAAACACCACCAATACTGAGTACTACTACTACTACTACTACTACTACTACTACTACTACTACTACTAATAATAATAATAATAATAATAATAATAATAATAATAATAATAATAATAATAATAATAATAATATCTAGATAATTGACATTGCAATTCCAGGGAATGGATCATGCCTAAAATTTAGGAATCAAGTCCTAACCATTTGGAGTAAGGTGACATGTTTGCACAATCACAGTTTTTTGAATTTCAAGCAACAAATTAACAACCGCTAGCAATTGTCTTGAACTGGTACCCAAATATTTTGGAACTGCTCCATTTGCTGTACTTAGAATGGTAAGGCAGATGACCTGCTCTTGCCGCTGTACTATTGTAATTTTCTGCCTTAATGTTTGGTACTCTCCCAGTTTTGAATTTCTGAACTTTGGAGGCTGCTTGTTCATGAAACTCGAACTTCTATAAGATATGCTTTTCTTTGCTGTTTATCCAGAAATATCTCACTTATTGAAATGAACTGTTTTATCAATGATAACTTGTTTGTCCCTGTACAGTATGGTGGCTTCATTTACTAAAACTGGAGAGTAGAGATGGGATATTCATATTCATTAACAAATATGAATATCCCTAGTCCAAGTGTCCCAGATCCCCAGGCCCACTTCCCAGAACCAAGCCATCTGCTTAGTGGGGAGATGCTGGGCCCACGTGCTGGGCCACGACCCCAAAGTGAGTTCAGTTCTGGGAGAAATGCCTGGGGATCCAGAATACCTGGGCTAGGTGTCCAGGTGTCTCCATCTCTACTGGAGATGATTAGAAATTATACCATGGAGGAAAAATTGTGAGTAATCCATAAGATTTAGCCAATAGATCTTAGGAACTTACAGTAGTACCTCGACTTATGAACTTAATCCATTTTGGAACAGCGTTTGTACGTCGAAAAGTTCATAAGTTGAAATATCATTTTCCATGGAAATGCATGGGAACGGAATTAATCTGTTCCAGCATTTCAAAAAATTACCTTCGGAGGTATCAAAGGGCTTTGCCCGCCACCATGGGAGACCTCCCTGGGGGTCCCTGCCACCGTGATCGGCGCCTTTGGAGGTCGTAAAGGGCTTCCCCCCCCAACGTCGGGGGGAAGGCCCTTTGAGACCTCCAAAGGCGATGAACGGCTCAGTTCGAAAAAAATCGCATTGACTCACACTGTTTGCCAATCGATGCCAATTTTTGCAAATGGAGCCCTTTGTAAATCAAAAAGTTTGTATGTAGGGACATTCATAAGTCAAGTGTTGACAGTATTAAACATGTGCTATTTTTGTAAACTTTTTTTCGTATTTGGTAAATTGCCTAACAACAGTCTGAGAAATGAGAATACTGAAGGAATATTATAAATCATGTACAGAGCCAGGATGTGGGAAATGAGGAATTTCTTATTAAATGCAAACCAAATGAAATTCTTCATCATCACTAGAGAAGTTTCTCTTGAGTTGTCATAACGCCTCTTCTTGGAAGTCTGGATTCATGGCCTTAGTGACTTAAATCCAGTGTTAATCCTATCTACAAAGATGTGAAGAATTTTGGCTACATTTCTCATTCTCTACTATGCTCCACTTTCCTTCTAAGAACAAGTGGTTTTGCATCAAGATAGCTTATAAAATTAAACATGTCCACTCTCAACAGTTGATTAAAGGTTGAATCATAGAATAATGCAGCCCAACCCCCTGGTCAATCCAGGAATCCAAATCCAACTATTTCTGACAGATGATTGTCTTGTTTTCTCTGAATGCCATCAGCATTTGAGCACTCATCACCTCCCGAGTTAACTGGTTTCAATGTTGAACTGTTCTAACAGTTATGAAGCTTTTCCTGATATTCAGCTGAAATTTGGCTTCCTGTAACTTGTGTCCATTATTATGTGTCCAACACTTTGGGATGATCAAGAACAAATCCTGCCCCTCCCCTTTATGACAATCTTTCAAGTATTTGAAAAGTGTGATTGAATCTCCCTTCAGTCTTCTTTTCTCAAGGTTAAACAAGCCCAGTTATTTCAGTCTTTCCTTATAGGGCTTGATTTCTCATTCCCTCACCATCCCTGTTTCTCTCCTCTGAACTTGTTTCAGTTTGTCAGCATCCTTCTTAAAGTGTACCATCCAGAACTGGAGACAGTACTCAAGATGTTGCCTAACCAGGGCTGAATAGAGGGCAACTAGTACTTCACAGTGTTTAGAAATTATACTTCTGTTAACACAGCCTAAAACAGCATTTGCCTTCCCCCCCCCCAGCCACATTGCACCATTGGTTCACATTCAGTTTATGATCTATAACAATTCCCAGATCTGTCTCGCTCATAATATTACCCAAAATCTTGTAACTATGCACCATGTCCCCATTCCCATTGACTAGCTGACCTACTATTTCTTTTCTCTATCTTTTGCTACACACATGAGCTACACACCTGAATAAATTTTTTTGTTGCTTTTAGCATTTATTGTTAACTTCAGTTCATTTTCAGTTTTCCTTTCCTAATGTTATTCCTGCAATTCTTTACTGTTTGTCTGTACTCTTTCCTTGTGGCCCGGACTTCCTTCCACTTTCTATATATGTCATTTTTTTTACTTTCAAGTTCTCTGAGCTTTTGGTGAAGCCACATTTGTCTCTTTTTCTCTTTTCTACCTTTTTTAAAAAAATTGTACAAATTGTTTGTAGTTGTGCCTTTAGAATTTCCTTTTCATAAATTCCCACCCACCTTAGACTCCTTTTCCTGTTAGGATCTCTGGTCATGCGACCCTACTTATCATTCCTGCTATCCTTTTATTTTCTTCTGTTTGTCTATCCTTTCCTTTGTGTTGTCTGCCTCGAAGGATGATGGGGAAGTCCACTAACTGTCTGCTTTTGTCTCCTTGTTTTTCCCCTTTTCTCTTCCTCGTTTCTTTACAGCCTTTCCTTACTATCTCCCTCATCAAACTCCTGTTAGGTCTACCTGGTCAGTCCCTCCCTGGGGTCTGTATTAGTTTTATTCCTCTGCCGTGTTCTGTTAGGGGTCAACCAAAAAATAAATTTATTTTGCATAGAGTGGAGCCCATCTGCTTATTAACCTTCAGCAGATGCAAATCTAAAACACTTTTAACCTCTTCATGCGTTGTGTGCCTTTTATG